ACTTTTGACAGAGCTGTCCCTCCCACCTTGCTTCTCCTTGACTGCACTCTAGCCTTGTGAGCTAGAGGGACAATCATTTCTTAAGTGAAACCTGATTCCCACTCCACCTGCTCCACAGCCCTGAAGGGTTCAGAGCACAGCGGAGAGGAGGCCTGGGGAGGTGTTGGAGGCTGTGCTTCAACTAGGGTGAATCTGAGACTCATTATTCATTTTACATCCTGATTGAAGCCCCCCTCCCCATCTCCTCCCGGTCCCATCCTCCTTCCTTCTTCCTCCCTATACCCTTCCCCTGAAAAGGGGAGTCCTCCTCCACTCCCATCTGACCCTAGCTTATCAAGTCTCATCAGGACTGCCTGGATCCTCTTCCTCTGTTGCCTGGCAAGGCGGCATCTCTAGGGGCAAGTGATCAAAGAGCAGCCTGAGGAGTTCATGACAGAGGCAGCCCCTGCTTCTCTTGCTCGGGGACCCATATGGAGACTGAGCCGCCAATTGGCTACATCTGAGCAGGGGGTCTAAGTCCTCTCCATGAATGATCCTTCGTTGATGCATCAGTCTCTGCACTCCTCCCTGGGCTCAGAATTTGTGGCTTTGTTGGTCTCCTTGCGGGCTTCCTGTCCCCTCCTGGGCCTTCTATCCCCCACTTCTTCCATAAGACACCCTGTACTCTGCCCAAAGTTTGGCTATGAGTCTCAGCATCTGCTTTGATCCCTTGTTAGGTGTAGGCTTTCAGAGCACCTCTATTGTTGGCTCCGGTTCTGTTCCATCTCTTCCAGCGCTTCTAGTGTCTATCCTGTTTGCCATTCTGAGCATCCTCCCTAAGGTCCTCCTTGTTGTTTAGCTTTTTAAGGTCTGCATATCGTAACATGGTTATCCTATATTACCTGGCTAATACCGCTTCTAAGTGAACACATACCATGCGTGTCTTTCTGGTTCTGGGTTACCTCACTCAGAACGATCTTTTCTAGTTCTACCCATTTGCCTACAAATTCCATGGTTCTTGCTTTTCATAGTTGAGTAGTATTCCGTTGTGTAAATGTGCCACAGGGGAGTGGCTCCTCTAGCGCCTCAAATGGATGAGGGGCTATGTTTGTGTGATGAGGCACTTTCACAACCGTGTCGATGCTTTTCTCACATGTATTTTCCTACCCTCTGCTCATTTTGAGTCCAGTTCTCAGGGACACCCCTTCCCACTCAACACCTTCCCCTCACTCGGCTGTTCCTGCAAGCAAATCTACAGCGCTCTGTGCTAGACTGATCCGAAACTCCGGCACAGAGAGTGTATAGACTGTCCCCTCCCTATTCAACTTTGCTGGAAATTCCTCAAGGTCATCGTCTATGGCATTTAATTTTGTTCCATAGTCCCTGACACACCAAATGTGTGTGTTCGACAAATGTCTTTGGAAACAAGCAGAATCCAGGTGAGGAGAAAGGTGCCCTCTGAAATGGGAATAGCATGGTGAAGCCGTGCTGGTTGTTTTTTTTTTTTTTTTGTTTTTTGTTTTTTGTTTTTTGTTTTTTTTTTTTTTTTTTTTTTTTTTGAGACAGGCCTTTCTGTGTAGCCCTAGCAGGCCTGGTACTTACTACCTATCACCCAGGCTAGTCTCAAACTTGCTTTTGGTTTCTGAATGCCGGGATTATAGGCATGCGCCACCACACCCACAAGACAAGATGACTAACATAGCATTTTAAGAATTTGCTCTCTGTTAAATGTTTAGGATTGGAGGCTCCTCTTCCCCAAACAAATTTAATGAGTAAACTGGAGGTGATAGTTGGCATCTTAGAGGCCTAGGGGGATCGCAGGGTTCCTTTAAACATTAAACCTTCACTGCCAAGTTCCAGAAACCTGCCTTATAGATCATTAACTTTTGCAGGAGGAAGGGACCAGGAGCCCTGGGGTATTTGTGAGAGTCTGAGTTCAGAGAAGAAGCAAAGCAGACCACCAATAAGCCAGATATATAGGACTGGGTTCACAGTCTAGCTGTACCAGCTGTATGGCCTAGAGCAAGGCAACATCTCTGTACCCCAGATTTCCACATTACCAAGGCGGAGGCACACTATTCCCTTTGTAAAGATTTAGGAGAGCTGGGAGACAGGAAGGGGGCTGACTGTTTTCAGGGTTTACCTTGGATATCAGGAATAAGGTAAGACAGGCAGATCCAGAGAGGAAGGACCACCTGCCCCCTGATCACACATTTTGGGTACTGAAAAAAAAATCATCCTCCACCCCTCACAAATGATTTGAGGTTTATTATTATTATTCGGTTTTATGTGACGTCTGCATGTGTGTCTGTGTGTTACTTCATGCCTGGTGCCCTCAGAGCCCAGAAGAGGGTGTCGAATACTCTGGAACTGGAGTTACAGACAGTTATGAGCTAACATAATGGGTACTGGGAATTGAGCCCAGGTCCTCCAGAAGAGCAGTAAGTGCATTTAACCTTGAGCCACCTTTCCTGCCCTGACTAGAGGTTTTGTGGTTTGCTTTTAAGAGACACAGTCTCACATTTGCAAGGCTGAACACGAATTTTCCTATGTAACTGAGGATGACCTTGAACTTGTGATCTTCTTGCCTCCCCCCCCCCCCCAGGGTTTTCCTGTGTAGCCTTGGCTGTCCTGTCCTGGAACTTAATCTATAGACCAGCATAGCCTCGGACTCACAGAAATCCTTCTGTCTCTTCTTCCTAAGTGCTGGGATTAAAGGCATGTGCTGCCGCCACCACCTGATTTGAGGTTTGTTTTTAAGATTTGTTTTTAAAAGCTGGGTGATGGTGGCGCAGGCCTGCAGCCCCAGCACTTGGGGAGGCAGAGGCAGGTGGATATCTGTGAGTTGGAGGCCAGCCTGGTCTACCAAGTGAGCTCCAGGACAGCCAAGGCTACACAGAGAAACCCTGTCTCAAAAATAGAAAACAAAATTATCTTTATTTGTATGTGTATATGCCATGTGTGTGGAGGTGCCCTTGGAGGTCGGAAGGGGGCATCAGATCCCCTGAAGCTGGAATAACAAGCCCGGCCAACTGACCCTTGTGCACACAGATGCATGCTGGGAACCCAACTCCAGTGCTCTATGAGAACAGCCACAAGTGCTCCCAAAAGGTGAGGCATCCTTCTAACCCCTCTAACTGAGTTTTTAAAAACTAAATAGTTCATGTTACAGGGCATTTGCTGACAACCGCAGTGAAGAGGGTGTCTGCCACTCACTAGCTTTGTCCTGGCCACCTTATTTGTGCAAAGGGGCGATAGTGCTGGACCCCTGAGGCTGCAGCAAAGAGAACCCACAGTGCTTAGAGAGGTGCCTGTGCAGGGAGACAGGCTCTGGGGACCGAGCTGTCACTGGATCGGCTGTGATCAGCGCTAAACAGGAGAAAATGCCTCTCTGAGGAACCGCTCGTTCTGGGAACATGGCGGGAAGGCGCCTCAGACCCTGCTCACCAGAGCTGTGTGAGTTGGTCCTGCTCACTCACACAGGCTTTGCCTTGGATAACTTCTCAGGTTCCTAAACTGGTCCTGGGCCAATCTACTGTCAGTTTCCAACAGTGCACTCAGACCTGGGTGCTCCCTCCCCGATCCTGGTCACTCAAAGGGAGGTAAACATCCTTTCTGTTTCCACAGTACTCAGTTTGAACGGAGGGAGGACCTCTTGCACACTAGGTAAATTCCCCACCTCAGCACTACATCCTCAGGCCATTTCTTCTCTTTTCATTTTAAGAAAGGGTCTCACTAAATTGCCTAGGATGGCCTTGAACTTGCAGCAAGATCCTCCTGCCTCAATTTCTGGAACAACTGCGATTACAGGCCTATACCAGCAGAAGGAGCAGAACTGTTGTTTCCCTTACTCTGTGCCCTGCTCAGACCAGCCCTCAGCCAGCAGCCCAAAAGAGTAAGTGCTTGAGGTGAAACCTGTTGGCCAAGGAAGAGTGAACACTTTCTCTTTCCAGAGATGGCTGAAAGGTCCTGGTTCCTCTTACTCTTCCTTTTTTTTTTTTTTGGGGGGGGGGGGGGTGTAAAAAATGGGATTGGACATTAGAGAGACTTGGTCACCTCTTTCTGATTAGCCGGAGACACCTCCATGGATTTGGGGCACAGTTGCCAGCCCTTTGTTGCTCCTTCAGCCGAGGCCTGGACCCAGGTCTGTTCGGGGGACTCCTCACCGCCCTGAGAATCAGTCCCTTCCGGCTGAGACTGGCAATGCAGGCCCCACTTTTGGTGGACGGGATGAGCAGTGCACTGTGGCTTATCCTGACGCCTCAAAGAGCAGGGCGGCCGAGGCCCTTGACCTAGGAGGGAGCCCAAGGGCGACCGACCGGGCAGCCCTGCGGAGAAGTCCACCGACTCCTCCCGAAGCGTTCTCGACACAAAGGGCATTCCTCAGCTTCCCGCTCCAGCGGGGCCGGGTGGGATCGGCTGAAGCGTGGCGCCTTTTAGCGCCCCGGGTGCGGCCCCCCAGTCACCCGGGCGCCCCTCCGCCTTCGCGCCCCGCGTCCCCGGGGAAGGATTTGGTCGGCGCCCGGGACACGGCCCTGGGGTAGCCGGTGCGTCCCAAGCTCAGGGCGCCTAGGGCCGTCCGCGCGGGCCGGGAGCGGGGCCTTGGCTGCCCTGGGCTCCCGGCGAGCGTGCGCCCCGCGGAGCGGCCGGGACCCCGGGAGGGCGAGGGAGGCTGGGGGTGGGGACAGGCCGAGGTCGCGGCTCCTGCAGCGTCTTCCGCCGCGCCCCCCTCTCGCCTTCCTCGCACTCTCTCCCCGGCCCGGCCCGCGAGGTCGCCGGCTGGGCCTTTCACCTTCACGCAACTAGCGGTCGAGGCGGCTCCCCGCGCCCGGAGGGGCCTGGGGCGCCGCGCACTCCCTCCAGCCCGGCCTCGCTTCGCCGGCCCCGGGGCGGGGACGCGCTCCCGGGGGCGAGGCCTGCGAGCCACACGCCCGCCCGCACGGGTTCAGGGCCAGCCCTTCCCGGGACTCTGCGGCGGCCCGGGCCCGGGGGAGAGTGGGCCAGGGCCTGGCTCTCCGAGGGATGGAGGGGATGGAGGCGGCGGCCAAGCCTGCGCGCCGCTCTCAGTGAGTACGGAGAGGAGCCGGGCCGGGTGGCGGGGCGCAGCGGGAACCCGGACCGCCGAGACCCGACCTCCCGCCGCCTTAGAGCCGGAAGGGTCGGGGAGGCCCGCCCTTCACGTCCATTTTCGTTCCAGTTTTTGTGGGTTAGTGCCTCGGCGGTGCTGGGAGTTACGACGTCTTCCAGGAAGCTCGGCGGGAGGCCTTCAGAGCGAGAGTCTCATTCTTTAAGGTCTGCGGACGGGGATGCCTGGAGCGCAGTTTACCCGTCAGTTTTACCAAAAGAGCTCATGTTACTAACCCAACCCTGGCTTCTGGATTGGACCTCAGAGGGGAAGAGGTCGCTGGGCTGCCAAGAAGCCTAGTGTGCTCTAGCTCAGTGGTTCTCAACCGTCCTGACGCTGCAACCCTGTAAAACAGTGGTGACCCCAAACCAGAAAGCTATTTTCGTTGCCACCTCATAGCTGTAATTTTGCCACTGTTTTGAATCGTAATAGAAATATATGATAATGGCTCTCTGATATGTGACCCCGTAAAAAGGTCTTTGGACCCCCCCCCCCAAAAAGGGGTCGTGTCCAACAGGTTGAGAACAGTAGAGGAAATAGACTTGTATTCTAAAGATATTCCTTACACTTCACAGATTTACTGCTGGGAAGTTTTGTGTTCTGTATGTATCTTGTTTTATAAAGTACGCATCCCCCTGAAAAGCATACAAATTGAGTTGTAGTGAGTGGCTGTAGGGGGACTTCGCCTTTAAGCACATCCTGTGGTGGCCCCTTACTGTGTGAAGGGATTAATAGTCAACCCCTCATCTGTAGCTTATGCGTGGGTTCCCATACACTGGGTTTACTTCAGATGGGACACATCTAGACTAGGGTGATTTCTAAGTGTTCTGACAGTGATCATTAAGACGCAGTAGCTTGTACGGTGAGTAAAACAGTTGTTACTTCCTTCCCTGTGACGTCATTGGAATCAGCCCAGCCACCAAGGGGCTGGGTAATACCGGTGAATCCTTTGACCAACTCTGTGGACTGAGGTCTGGGGGTGGGGTGGGGTGCAGTTAAACGCTCACTGCTCTGGAGGAGCCAAGGAGGGGCTTGGATTGAAAAGCTTTTGGTTACAAACTTGGCTCCCCTGTGGCATCTATGTGACATAATTTCTTCACGCCTCAGTTTCCTCATCTGTTAAAAAAGAAGAGAATGTACTAATAATGACATTCTAGCACGGACATGTTTGAAAAGTCTCTGCTTGGCTGACATAGAGCAGAGAGCTGATAGTTTTTGGCTGTCACGATGTTCTTTTGAGTAGAGCTTGACTCTAGTTTAAGGCTTTTTGCACAGGGGTTGGCACGAGGCTGGCAGGCGGCACCTTTCACTAGAGGGGCAGGTCCTTCATCCACAAGGAAGAGTACTGCCGATTAGCCAACACTGCCATTCTCCTCTGAGGCCGCCTGTTAGCCCAGGGCTGGGGAATCACACTGCTTTTCACAGCGGTTCACACTTGTCATTTGTTTTGCTCCCCTTAGATACCGCTATAAAAAAAACTAGGAACACACCCTGAGAGGGGTGCTGCGGTGGGGGTTGGGGGAGTGGTGTTATAAACAATGGTGTTTATTGCCCATGCTCCAATCAACACCCCCTAGGCCCTTCCTCACTCCCGAAAGAGCATTTACTCATGCCAGGAGAATATAAGCTCGTAACCTGTTGGTACTGTCCTGTGACTTGTCCTTTCTGGTATGTGTCCACATTATGCAGAGGATAGCCCTTCTGCTTACAGTACTCATCCGAGCAGGGGTCCGTATCAGGGTACCCTTCGGGCGAATCAGGTCACTGGGGCCATCCAGTACAGGGTCTCCTCTTCTCCTGTTTTCCTGCAGAGCATCCAGTACAGGGAGCAGAGCCACAAGGCTCGTGCAGGTGACTGCAGCTATGGCTAGACATGGTCCTGAGCAGCCAGACAACGGGCCCCTCCTGAGACCCACACTCTGCCCCCAGGAAGACCGAACGCCTAACCTGATGGCCCCCAAGCCTCCCAGGACATGGGGGCTGCAGCTCCGAGGCCCTTCTGTGCTAGAGTCCAAGGTGAAGGCCTTGAAGGAGAAAATGACAGCACGTAAACAAGGAGAAGGTCCCTGTACCATTTCCTATGAGTGTCCGCCCCCTACGAAATCCACATGCCACCAAGTCAAGCCTGGAGCAGTCCGGAGCCTGCCAGAGGGCTGTCCTCTACCCCATGTCCCAGTCCACCATGCTCCGAACCCTATTGATGGGCAGCTGGCCAGCCAGGTTAACAAGAAACCTTCCAGGAATGGTGGATCCACACCATCTACCCCTGAGAGATGGAATAAGCAAAGCCTATGGTCTCCAGAAGCAGGGCGGATGCTGGCTGATCAGGAGGAGGACCCAGGGTCTTGCTCTTTACAAGAGAACTTCAACTACCAGGTCTGTGCAGGCCAGCCACTGGGGCCTGGTCCCTGTGACAGCACCCACTTGAGCAGCCTGAGGAAGAGAAGGCCGCACCCACTTGGAGATGGTATGATCACAGAGGGAGATCTGGACAGCACAGCCCTAACCTCCAAGGAGGTCTTAGTCCCCAGAACAGACCTGCCAGAGACACCCTGGAGAGCTGATGGCCTAGAGGCTCTGGGCACTGTGGCAAATGCTTTGTCCTTGTCTGACCGCGTGGAGAGGAACCGCCTCCTGCTACAGGAGATGCTGAAGATTTCCAGACAGAGTCCTTCCAGGGCAGGAAACCCAGACTGGACTCCATCCTGGGGCAGGGCTGCAAAAGGTGAGCCTTGCTTTGCAGGCCTGGGTTGGAGTAATGGGAAATGGCAGGGCGTGGAAAGATGGGCGAGCGCAGTAACATCACCCAAATAATCACTGTCCAGCTGGGACATAAGGTCCTCTATAACCCACAGGGAGTCCTAACTGCCACAAGTCTCGTGGCTGTCCAGATCAGTGGGAGGCCATCCTCTGTGCTTGGGGACAGAGGCTATGTGACTTCCCTTGTGGCTCTTTGCAGAATATCCTCTTGTACTCCCTCTAATAATGCTGCTCCGTACCATCCCCAGAGTGCTAAAGTATCCTCTGGTGGGCTAGCACACAGGAGCATTTCCCTGCAGAGGCAGAGGAGCAGCGCAGGAGCACTGTTGGAGGTGTGTGCTCAGACTCCAGAAGACATCCTTGCTTCATTACCTTACCTGAGGGCATGTATGGGATCCTCTTAGCCTACTCTTGAGTTCACTCACAGTCTGCCCGACAGCCTGTGCTTCCTCCTCTTAGACCAGAATGTGGGTCCCAACCCCCAGTTTCTAATCCTGTCGTGCTGGAGATTAGATTTCAGTGTGTAAGTCTGGAGAACCTAGGCATTTAGCCCACATAGGGAGTAGAGCAGTTCCTCTCTGTGTCCACCAGTTGGCTCTGCCCTGATCTCTGCTTCTGCTCTGGGCCCTAGAGCGACCAGCGGGAGACGAGGACTGGGACTCGGGCAGCCCCCTGCAGGACTCAGGTCAGAGCAGGTAAGGGCTCTTCCTTACCGCCATTCCTCCATTGACTATGCACCAGAGCAAAGGCCAGAGGAGAGAGAGGCAAACCTCCACCAGTGTACAGGAGCCACAGCCACCCATCCTTCTTGAGGCCCCGTAGACAGTACCAGGCTGCTGCCTGCCTGTCATTTGAACGAAGCCACTGGATGCAGAGGTCTGCAACAAGCCTCCCAGTGACCTGTGTCCTGGAGGCCATGTCCCCTTTGAAGCAGGAGAAACTGAGCAGTCACTGAAATTGAGCTAACTGATTAATTCACAGGGTTCTTGTGAAGCTAAAAAGCGTGAATGTAAAACTCCATGGGGAAAGTCCAGGAACACAAAACTTTAACTCCCCCTACTCTTTTCCTAATCAGAGGAGTATGCTGGGCTCAGGGTCAAGGATTTCCCCTCCAACCTCCCACTGGGGTCCACAGATGGTTTTCTAGCCCTTCTGCCACTGTCTTAGGGAAGTTGGTGTTCAGAGAGTGTGATGGGAGAGGGGAGGCAGTGTCCTGAGCCTGGGAGGGTAGGAAGAGAGTATCACCTGAGGTGTGGTTCGGGGCCTTAGCCCTGCTGGTGCCCACTCAGAAGCTGGCCTCAGCCTCAGCTTTTGCTAGGATGTTGGCACAGGAGGCTGAGAGAGGCCTTGGGACTGGGAGTGTCTCCAGCTTTCAAAACTGCAAATGACGTCAGTCTCAGAAGGGTCTCATGGTATCTGCCCACAGTAGTCAGCCTTGTCTCTTCTCACTGGCCAGACTGCCCCTTTGTACCCCACTAAGATTGACTTCTCCTCCCCCCCAAAACATGGGCAAGACCTTTACATTAGTCCATGCTGGCCGCGGTAACAAAATGCAGCAGATGACTTATAAACCACAGAAATGCCATTCTTGCAGCGCAGGAGGCTGGGAGTCCAACGGCCGAGAGGTCAGAAAACTCAGTGTTTGCGGAGGACCTGCTTCCTCATAGATGGCATGTTCTTCCTATATCCTCACAGTGTAGAAAGGGACAAGAGGGCTTTCTGGTGTCCCTTTTGTAAGGGCCCTGATCCGTCCTCACTAATTCCATCACACTACATTTCAGCGTACACGTTCCGGGAAACATGGCCCTACCTCTGCTCCCCCTTTAGCAAAATGAGGGTGCCAGAGTCAGGTAACCATGGTTGCTCTCAGCTTGGAGGTGGGGTGGGGAGAGGGATTTCTGGCTCATTCGTCCCTCCGTATTTGTGTCTGGTCTCTTCTCCTGCCTTCCTGGCTGTTCTTCTCAGCCTCTCATCACACCCTTACCTGGCCCTGCTTGCCACTGTGGTGCTCAGTGGTTCTCCACTCCCTCTGTCCTCTCTCTACTTGTATCCTTGTGGAGCACTCTGACAGAGCCTGGGAAAAGGCACCTGTGTGCTGTGGAGACACAGCCTCTTTTCCTACAGCCACTGCACTCTCCCAGTCTCACCTCCCCTTCCCCCAGCCCACTCCAGTTGCTCACAGGGATATGCAGCTGCTGCGATTTTGCTCAGAGTTCTTGTAGAAAGAAGGCAAGTCCCCTGGCTTGCACTGAGATAATAAGTTACAAAATCTGGTTGTCTTAAAGGAGCCGCTCCAACAGGGATAGGGAAGGACATCCATCCTTGCCTGTGAGGATATTTAGGACACTCAGGACTAGACTTCTAGAGTAGTTTAACCTGACAGGACATCTGTGGCCATGGATTTTTCATCAGAGGTCAAGTATGAGGGTGTGATGGCACATACATACCTGAAATCCCATCACTCGGGAGGCTGAGGTAATGGGGGCACAAGTTCCATAGCTGTGTGGGCTACACAGTGAAACCTTGAAAAGAAAGAGACAGACAGATAGATGGCAGGGATGACAGGTGTACATGTATATTGTATGACTCACAACATATTTGTCTGTGTGTGTGTGTCTGAGGGGAGATACACACAGAGAGAGAAAGAAGGACCGGCAGACTTGTTTTACGACCCTGTTCAAAAACTAATAGAATGTCCCCTTAGAGTACCTGGCATATAGAGGTTACTTGATGAAGGTCAAGTCTCTGCTAGGTAGACACCTGGACTGAAGGGCCAGGGAGCATAGCCGAGCTCAGGGAAGAGGAAGTGCCAGCCCTGCTGTGATGCCCCAAGACAACGCAGGGCTCTCCTCCGTGTGAGATGGACTTATGGACACTACAACTACCAAGCCTGCATTGCCCAGAGGCATGGCTTTCCTTGCCTCTGTGCCCCAGGAGTGCCACATTCGGGTCCTGGGCCTAGAGTCTGGGCTAAGGGGTGTAGGACCCCGGGCAGAGAGTGCTCTGAGGTTGCTGCTGACCATCTCGGTGACCACCCATTAGTAGATGCCGTGGCCTTCATTCTTTGAGCACTGTAGACCTTCTCAGGGCTTGAAGAGCAAAAGGTTCTGCTCCTGTTCAGGCAAGTTTAGAATCTGAATAATTCATGTTACAGTCAAAGAGCCATGACAGCCAGGTTAACCCAACGTGTACTTAATCATGCTCCTAATTGTTACTGTTCTGCAAGGTGACAAGTTCATGGAATGACTTAAATGCAGAGCCCAGGGCTTGGGTCTGGGGTCTCTGGACCAGCTTGTTGTGAGGTGGCCTTAAGAAATCAGCTGTGGAGGTGAGCCACCGAAATACTTTGGGACCTCAAATCCTGCAGGAGCCCTCTGTCCCCCACTCCAGGGTTGTTTTCTATTGATGGGTAGGCTTTTGCTCAGTCCAATAGGGCTAAAACACACTGGTGGCCAGTTCAAAGAGCAGGCTGGCTACTGCCATTTTCATCCTCTGGCCATATACCAGGTGCTGCTGGGTAAGTGTGGTTTCTGCATCTCACTCTGTGGACAGATCTGTCTGAGGACAGATCTTAGCCATTGCTCCCGCATCACTGACAGAGAGCTCTCTAGGGGAGGCCAACTGACTTGCTCAGGGCTTGGAGTCAGGACTTGCAGTTGGGCCCCAAGGCTTATGCTCTGACTGCTAAGGGGCACTGCCTTAAGCTGTCCTTTCCGTGCCTCCACAGGTCATCCCTTGGATAAAGCAACCCCTTGGGCTGGGGATCTGGGGCCTTCTACTTCCCTCCAGCCTGATTTGTTTTCCACAGTGGGAAGAGAAAGATGGATAAGCCAGCTTGAGCTTGACAGTGTGCTTTCAGGTGGAGCTGCCCCACTTTGCTACCATCACTCACTGCCTACTGGCCCTGCCTGCCCCGACTGCCACCAGTGCTATTGCTGGTGTCTTTCTCCTTGAGTTCCTGGAGGCAGGAACTTTGCCATTCTGGAACAGGTGCTCATAAAATGTCTGGCAAAGGCAGGCAGGAGTGAGCTGATTGAGGGCTCCCTGACAGCTGGAGCCTGTGTGGGCTTGCAGGGGTCTGGACAGAAGCAGCAGGAGCATTCCAGATGGGTGAGGCTGCAGAAACACTTGGGAGCATCTGAGGTGGAATGTGTGATGATCCGTAGAGGGTAGCTGCCCGAGGAAAGCCTGGAACTGAGATCTCATTTGAATGCAGAGGCACTCAACGGTCTTCGTACTGCTCCAGCTGCCTCCTCCTCCTACACAGAAGGATGATCTTATGTCCTGGAAACAGGGGTTGGTGTGGGTGCGGGGTGCTAAGGAGCATCGAGGAGCTGGGAAGAGGCTTTGGAGTCCATCTTGAGTCACTGGCTATGTTTTGTACCTTCTGGACCCAGTGTGACAGGGAGTTAGTGATGAGATGCTCTGCAGCAAGGCTTGGAATGAGATGCTGGCCATTCTGAGGGCCACAGAGGCGGCTGAGGGGCGCCCAGGCCAAGATGTCACTGAAAGTGGTTGAGCCCCTCACGGCTGCGGCTTATCTGTGTGCCTACAAGGCTTGCGGGGCACACCCACCACCCGTACTCCGCGCCAGCCCTGTCGCTGTACAGACAAAAGGGAACTGCGCTTGCAGTCCCAGGGAACTCAAGGGGAAAACAGCGGGGCAACACACCAAGCCTTTAAATGCCTGGCCCGCGCCAAGTGGCCAGCGTCCCGTCCCCTGGGTTGACCCCACACAAAGCCAGTGCTTTGGAGCCTCCAGATGCACTGTCCCTTGTCACACTTGTCACCATACTCACATTCGCTCCACACACAAAATCCTCCTGAGATGAGGACCAGAGAGGAGCACAGAGAGAGATGTTCACATCTTCAAGGTGTGAGGGAGCTAAGCTGACTTCAAGAAAAGTCCCTTCAGGGAGGGAGTGTCTCAGATGCCTGCCAGGCTAGCTACCTTGTGTGCCCCATACTGAGCGCGGGCGGTGCTGACTTGGTCATGTTCTGGGCTTCAGTGTGGAATTTGTCATCATTCTTTGGGAGTGTCTGCCTCTTCTGGAAGGACACATTACAGGTGTTAGGTTCTGACCTGCCACCGGCCTTTTCTTAGGACCCCTTTCGTCCTTCTCTGTGGAGAGAAGGGCATAGGCCTTCCTCTGCTACCCACCAGCCTCCTCCTGTCCCTGTGCTGTGGAAGTCACCTTTCCTCAGAGCCGTCAATGGCTTTTGAAAGTCTAGAGCAAACCCAGTAAGCCGAGCTGCACGCAGACTGTCACTTCTAAACATGACTTCTTGCCAGCATCAGGGTAGCTTCATGGCAGGTGACCTTAGCTCATGTTCAAGGATCCCCCACTCCTGCCCCAGAGTGAAGGGGTGGAAGTAACACTAGGGCTAATAATAGAAACAACAATAATAAGTGCTAACATTTGTGGAATTTTAACAGCTAAGAATGTTCCCTTAACAGCTGAGCCCTTATTAGCATGTGAGGACCAGACTTAGCCCTGAAGGCACTCAGCAGGGTGACACAGCTTGGAAGAGATGGTCCAGGGATGAGGATTTGGGCAGGCACCCCGGAAGCACACTGTAAAGCTCTTCTTTAGCTTTTGCTCTGTGGATGTCCTTCAGACTGAAGAAGGGTGTGCCTTCACGAACCCACACTCCACAGCCAATCCCCACCCACGCTTCCTCCTCCCTCCCTCAGACATTCATAGTAATAGCAACAGATCTCTGTCCTTGGCTGTCACAGCTTTAATGTACACAAATGGAACCATGCTAAGCAAAGGCTTTAGGTAGCTTCTGCTTGCTGTGTAGTTTTCCTTCTCCGGCCGCAGCCTGGAAGTTGTCAGCTCTGTCTCCATTCCTTCTTTCTTGGTCCATGTTTCTGAGATGAAGGGGTTAACTCCAGACTTGCTGGAGTTAATCATTGTAATCTGGGGATTATGATGGCTGCAGAGAAAAGTCTCCCTCTCCCCTTGACTGTGAAAGTGATAGAGCTCTCCTAGCCTGTCTAGCTGGAGGGGCGCTAAAGTGACTGCTAAATTTGTCCCCACTCCGAGAACCTGGCCTAGAGCAGGGGGCAGGCATCACAGGCTCCCTTTGTCCTCAGGGTGCAGGCGGTGTGAGGGTTAGGGCAGGAGCCCGAACACACCCGTGGACCTCTAGCTTCCCCACATTAGTTGTTTGTGTGACCACTCCGTAAAAGCCAGTCCTGTGGTCCAAATGGCTGCTAGGTAGGCCTCAGGATCCCTGCTCCACCATAGCCTGTCCGGTCAAAGGCCCAGACTCAGGGTAGCGGTGTGAGCCGTCTCTCACTTGAAGGCCCGTGCTGACAGATGGGAAACTGAGACCTTGGAGGAAGAGTCCTCGGCCTATTTATCCCTACCCCTGTCCCAGGGCCTCAGACACTCAGGCTTAAAGAAGGTGATAAATGCTCTTTGTTTGTGGAAGACATTGCCTGTGTCTGGCTGCACACTGCCTGACTTTGCCAGGAAATTTCCAGAGGAAATGGAAGAGCTGGACAGTGGGTTTTAGGTCATGATAGGAAGGGCTGGCGCTGGAGCTGTGTGCCTCTCTCTAGTCCAGGGTCAAATTAGAGTCTTCCTCAGTTGGAAGAGTTTGAAGCTATCTTTCTAGAATGGTGGGCGACCTCTGGTGTGGTGCTAGGATGTGGGTAGTAGGCTGAGAGAGAGAGAGTGCCCTCTCTTCCCGAGCTGGCCCAGCCACCATCTGCAGGGTGCACAGTGATGGCGTCCTTGCTGACCTTGGCTGCAGTCTGTGAAGGTGGCTGCCACTCTCCTCCCAGTTGGTGTATTGCTGCGTAGATGCCTCCAGGCAGCCAGAAAGCCTGCCTTTCTAATCAGTGGAGAAACTAGCTTTGTCTGCCAGACTGAAGCAGGGCAGTTGATGAAGGGGGGAGGGAGGTGGACAGCTGTTCCAAAGAGGAAACAGCCAAGCTGGAAATGGCTTAGAAACCTGGGGGCAAGGCTGATCTCGGCAGCATCTGGCCAGCTGCCGAGGGGCTCTCCTGCCTGCCCACCAGGCCTTGTGACAAATGCCCTCCGACAGTCGCAGAAGCACAGCTGTCACCGGAAGGCTGTGAGCATGTCGGCTGGCAGCCAGAGGCCCGCGGCGGCAGGGGCACCTCTGTGAGTGGCAACCTCATTATCTCTGCTGTTGGAACTGGAGCCCTGGGGAGCACAGCTGCTCTCAGCTGCGGTTTGGGGAGCTGCTTGCTCTGGAAGCCATGTCAGGGGAGCCTCTCCTGCCAATGGAGGCCTCGTGGGGCAGCAGGCCTGGAAAAGTACTTTAGCATCACTCCGGTGAAACCCTCCTTCCAAACCCGGCCTGGCGCTGCCAGAGCTCATGGCACAGATGGTGTCTTTATGCTAGCAGCCTTTCCCCCTCTGGCCCAAAGCAGTGTTCAAAACACATGACAAGAAGGAAAAAAAAAAATACAACAAAAAAACCCATCATCTACTAAGAGCTAATTCAAGAGGAGTGCTTGCCCTGGAGGCCTTTGTCCACCCCTGTCATGAGAATCCCTACACCTTCCAGAGGTGAGGGTGAGGCCCTTTTACCCATGTAGCATATGGAGGGAGTTAGGGGTGCCTCAGGTGTGAGATCTAAGCCCTGCTGAGCCTTTGGCTGAGCTCTGTTCCTGGGGATCCTCCCTATGAGCAGAGCCAAGCATATGTGACAGCGTGGATGCTGGCGTTACATCAAAGCCTGTCTGACCTCATCCTCAGACATCCTTGCCCACCCTGGCACCCATGGAGGAAGAGGACAGGATGTGAAATGAGGCTAGAGGCAATGGGGCTGGCTGTCGTCTGCATCACTCTGCCCAGCTCTCAACCGATGTTCGACCTTGAGCAGTGTGTCCACATTTCCCTCCAGTCCAGACACCCTCATTTGTCAAATGCAGGGAACACCTGCCCTTGTCCAGCCTAGCTGGGAAGAGGGAACTCTGAGAGAAAGCCTTCTTGTCAGGGGGATGTGTGGGCTCTTCTTACTCCCATAACCCAGCACAGGTGGTATGTCACTGTCTGGGAGACAGCTTTGGAAAGAGGTGCCTGTCACTCCTGTGGCTCTGAACTGAGCAGGGACGCAGCGCATCTGGTTGGTGGTTCACCACCAGAGGACCTTTATTATTAGGAAAATCGAGCCATGTGCTGACTTGGTTTGGGTCCAGCTTAATTTCTCTCTGTGAGCCCTGAGTTGACTCCTGACAGGTCTGGGTTGAGACTAGGAGAAGAAAACACCAGGATTTATAAAACACTATTCCCCAAAGGACCAAGACTGTGACAGGCAGTGTTTGTCCCTGTGTCTCTGATGGGAGCTGGGAACAGTGCTGTGTGGGCTCCAGTGGGTGCGTGTGTAGGTGCTGAGAGACAGACGGACACAGGGAGGCCATGCATGGAAAGGCCATCTGTCTGGGTATAGGCCTGGATCCATAACCCTGGGACCTTCCCCATACCTCTTCCCCAAGGCTCCTGCTTCTGCCCCTGGGAGGAGCAAGAGAATAGCCAGACTCCCTGAGCAGATGTCCAAGGTCAGGTTTTCTCCCCAGCTCCTGCCTGAGCTCAGGGTGTTTCCTGGGCCTGAGGGGCTAGTGAGGGAGTTGGGTTGGGGGAGAGTGAGGAGGAGGCTTGTGCATGAGTTAGAAGGGGAAGGCTGTATATAGAAGGCTTTTCCTGGCAGAGCTTGGGCTTCATACCATTAAAGCCTCCTAAGCCGTGTTATTTTCCTTTAATCTCCCCGCTGTCCATCCTGGCCTGTGTGCCCTGCAGGACCTTTGTTCCCAAGCTGGAGCCTGTGCTGAGTGCCGGGCATGAGGAAGCCAAGCATCTGCTACAGCGTGTTCGCATGAAGGCCAGGACCAAACCGCTCCGAGCCAGCCACGATATTGTGCCCACCATTGCTCAGGGCAGCCGGTGAGTGGGGCCTAAGCCAGGCAGGCCTGGGAAGGCTCATGGCAGGGAAGGGTCACTAGCTCAAATAGTTGAAATATGGCCAGAATGCCTCTGTTCTTTCCTCCGTGTGTGTGTGTGTGTGTGTGTGTGTGTGTGTGCATATGCATATGTTTTCTGTGTCAAGCACTTGCTGTTATCATTTAGTCAGTCAACACACCATTACCCACTGGGGTGTCATACACTGAGATATAAAGATAAATGAAATATGTGATCTGAGCTCTCTGGGGGTTCACGGTCTCCAGGGAGAGAGACAGCCAAACACCCAGTCAGTTCTGTGGATGATAGTGGGGGAGAGGAAAACACGTGTGCAGAGCTGGCAGCGTGTTGCTCCACCTGGAAGGGACAGGTGAGGCTCTCAAGAGGAGGTGGCTTCCCAGATGGGGTTCACAGGAGCTGTGAGTGTTCACTGGGCAGACGTAGTGAGGGAGGAGTGGTATTCTGAGGGATGGAAGCCATGAGAGGAAGCACTGTGATCCAGAACTCAGTCAGCCTGGAAGAGAGAAATCCTGAAGGGAAGCATCATAGAGGCCAGCCACGGAGGAACTCCAGGCCTACCGAGCAGCAGCTCATAAGCTCCTGTACTGGTTTGGGCCCACAGAGATGGATAAACAGATAGATAGCAAGACAGCATGGTAGTAACTGTCTTTCTGCAATGGCCTTCTGGCTGGGAGGAACGGAATCTGACAGATGAGGAAGGCCGTGACTGGTCCTGGTGGACAGGTCTGGGAAGCAGGCATGGTGACTTGTTGACTCTGATTTGTTAACAAACCTACTTTATTTAGGGTTATCAAACGCTTCTACCTTCCTTCCAACCCCCCAACACCAGGTAGGAGGGACAGAAGGTTAATGGGGAAAGGGACAGAGTTCTTTCTGCTACTTCTAGCTGGGTAGGGTCGTAGGATTCTTTTGTGGGCAATATCAGTATCAGTTGTCCAGAAATCCAGAAGTTCAGGTAACCAGAAAATCGGGAAACAGCAAATGCAGCAGCAGGATGAACCAGGAACAAACAGTCCTCCTGCAAGCAGCTGTGCCTTCTTCCTCTGGGCTGTCATATTTATATCCCTCGAAGTCCTCAGAATTCAACTAATTCCACCTGGCAAAGACCATGCTCCTCAGGAAACACTTAACAGGTGTGGACAAACTAAAATCCCCAACTTGGAATTTTTAACAAAAACATGTTTACACATCATAAACCTAAGATTCCACAACAGTAACCTCTCAGAGACCCCCATGAACCAGAACCAAGCTGGTTTACCAGGAAGCAGAGAAGCACTGCCCAGGTTGAAATCCTGGCTCTTCCAGTGGTTCGTGTGTGCCTTGGGGAGGTCTCTGAATTATCAGTGATCATCTTCCAGCTTTATATGAGCCGATGTACAGAAGGCACACTTAGCGTCCTGAGTGCTGTGGGCACTTGGCCTGCCAGCTGCCGGTCCCCAACATCAGATTAGTCAGCTTTGGGGGCAGGAGAAGGAGAGGTGCTCAGAACAGAGCCCAGAGTTCTGACTTGTATTAGAGTGCTCATGCGCCCCTAACCAAAGGGTGATGCCAAGGCTCAGGGTCAGGATTTAGAGGGGAGGAGTCCCAGAGCAGCCACTAGAGATGTCCCTTGAACAACTGTATACCTCATTAGAGGTGAGGCTGGAGATTATGGGCACTATGGTGAATTCATCATGCTGGAGCTGCAAGGGCGAGTGCATCCAGAGTGAAGAGACTGAAAAGAAGAGGCTCGAGAGTTCCTGGGCCAGCACGTCATTGTGTGACTGCCCACGCCACATGTCTGTCCCCAGCACTGTGCTTGTCCTTCTTATGGTACACCTTAAAGAGCTACTTCCACAGGGAACTCTCCCCCACACCAATGCAGAGCCCTAGTCATGCTCTCAACTGTCAGGCCTTGCCGATCTTTCCAGGCCCAAGCAGGCACACCTCTGTAAGTGGCAGGGCCTGGCGTCACTGGTATGGTGGACACATTGGATCTGCTTGTCTTATTCATCACCACATGGAACTAGTGGCAGTGAGGACTCTTAGTAAAGCTGAGCCATGAGCTCTTTGATGGGGGCTGCTGAGCCTGCTCACTACAGGTTAGGATATTCACAGAGCCAGTGCCATGACTCCATTGCATACAGAGACCTCTCTATTTATTGCATTTACTGTAGCCCTTAAGAGAGGGGCACAACGGCAGTGGTGGCACACACCTTTAATCCCAGCACTTGGGAAGCAGGCAAAGCTCTGTGAGTTTGAGGCCAGCCTGGTCTAAAAAAAGAGTCCAGGACAGCCAGAGCTACACAGAGAAACCCTGTCTCAAAAAACAAAAACAAAACAAAACACACACCACCACAACAACAGAGAGGTGACACAAGACACACCAAATCCTAGGAAAGGTGCCAATCAGGTTTCTCTTTCATTTCCACGTCTATGCTTCGCCTCCCTCTGACTATAGAGGATTCACTGGAACGGCATGGCTTCTTCGAGGCCTCCTAGCTGTTCTCCACAGATGCGGAGAGATGCCCGAGACAGCCAAGGCACTCCTGCCTAGTTTTCTGTAGGAATAACATTGGAGTGGTGAGGCTCACATAGGCAAGACTCTGCAAAACAGACTCGAGGGTGCTCTGTCCTCTTGGGCTCCTCCTTCTCTAGTTCATTCCAGCTAGTCTCAACACCCCAGGAGCTATTGTAAAGTAGGCTCCCTCTTTCTTGGCCGTAAAAATGCTATAAAAATGCAAGGTGACCTACTTCAGCAGATGCTGCGGCCAGAAAAGAATTACTACGACTTGGCAGCGCTGGCGAATCCTCAGAGGGCAGAGCTGAAAAACCCGCACCAGATGGCTTGCTGCAGCTGCTTCAAAAGGTTACGCTCCATCAGATGACCCTGGAGGGCAGGCAGAGTTAAACATGGTGATGCCATGCAGGCCCCAGGCCTCAGCTAGAAGCAGGAGGTCCCACCCCAGCCCCGCCTTATCACTCCTTCCAAAGAACAGCTTGGCAAAAGATGGGGGAGGAGGAGGGGCAGGCAGCTCAATGTGTAGAAGGCCCTTTTTAGCCTAGGTGCACCGAGAGGCAGCCAGGTGAGCCTAAATCCAGCTCTTTCCCAGGAGGGAAGAGGGGGAGACAGATGGGCTGTCCAGAAGCCAGTTCACATTGGAAATTGAACGGCTCCTGGGAATGTAAGCTACTCACACTTGGAGAATTGGCAGACTCAGGTTGATATTCTTAATCCTGACAGCACCCTGGGAAGGTTTGTGCCGTGTGACCAGAGGCTGTGTGAGGCTGCAGAGCTCGCAAACAACACACGGAACATGAGTCTAGGACAGACCTGTCGTGGGGCTGCAGGAACTTTCCTCCCGAAGGCCATGCAGCTTTAGTGCTACATTGGAGGCTCTGAGCTTGGCTGAAATCCTGTCCTCCAGGGGCCGCACCTTAAGAGGCAAAACTCTGGGCTTTGCTTTTGGCTTGACTGCCTCAAGTGCTCTTCTCCTGAGGCCTCCCACTGCTCTTCTGAGACATTGTCTGTGTGGCTGCCTGGGGCCTTGGAGTCTGAATAATGGCATGGAAGACTTTTACATGATTAGCTCTTTATTTTATTCTACTTATTATGACAATGAATTTGCTTTTGTGGGATTTTGTTTTATGTTGTTCTTGAGACAGGATCTCACTGTGTGGTCCTAGCTGGCCTGGAACTCTCTTTGTAGACTGGGATGGTCTTGAATTCACACACATCTGTCTCTGCCTCTCAAGTGCTGGAGTCAAAGGTGTACGTTACAGTGATAAGATGCCACCTCAACATATATGGTATAAAGGAGATTTATTGTGGGAAAGGGGGAGGAGAGAGAGAGAGGACACCATGACAAAGAGAGAAAGAGAGAAACAGAGACAGACAGAGGGAGAGAAACAAGAGTGAGTATGGGTGATGGGAGGGTTCTTATATCCCCCTCACCTGGTGCAGGTAATGACACTGGACATTGTCAGGACCCTAAAGACCCCCTGAGGGCAGGACAGTGGAATTGCCTGCACACCAACATTTACAGTGCCGTGTCTGACAACGTCTTGTTTTTGAGGTGGGATCTCACTCTGTAGCCTAGACTATCTTGATCTCAGAATTCTCCTGTTGCAGCCTCTTGAGTGATGAGATTGGTGTTGTTTTGTTTTGTTTTTTTTTTTTTTTAATAAAAAGCATATTTCTCTTTGGAGTGAATTTTAAGATGGCTCAGTTCTGCATCAGTGTGTAAGCTTAAGGCCACTGCTATGACCACACTGCCCTGAGAACAGATTTATTTTTCCCTTCCCAGAACTTACAGGCCACTTCCCTCCAGCCAAGCAGGATATTGGCCCTGCAGCCCAGGAGAGGAAGGGGCAGTTCTGAGCTGGTGCAGAATCTCCAGTGAGCTGGGCCACTTGTCCTGTTTCTATGCTGGGCCTAGGACTTCTGCCTGATGAGGTAGCATCATTTTGGTGTTGTTCAGTAGCTCCGTCCAACACGGACATCTAAGCCTCTGACAGTAAGGGGGTAGTACAGGTCTTCAGAGAAGGACACATCATCAAAGGGTATTAATTCCGAGTTCTCCAGAGAAGTACAACCAACGGGATGTGTCTGTATATCGAGAGGTTCACTTTAAGGAGTTGATTGCCAGAGCTGTAGAAGCCTGGTTACTCCTGACCCTGTAGGACAGGCCAGCAGTTCAATTCCAAAGTCAGCCTGCAGGCAGAATCCTTTCTTGTTCCAGGGAGGTCAGAGGTCAGCTTTTAACTGATAGGATGAGGTCCACCACATGATGGAAGGTAATCTGCTTTATTCAAAATCTGTCAGTTTGAATGTTAATTTTGTCTATTTAAAAAAAAAAATCCCTGTGCAGTAACATCCATAATAATGTTTTGACCAAGTTTCTGGGTACCAGCCTCTATAAAGTCACCATTATATTAACCACTGTGTTACCAGCCATGGAATGTGTTACCTGTATTCTGTGCAGTCTGAAGATTCTACAGGTTCAGCCAAGCTCTTGACTTACTTTATAGAAAGGAATTTTAGGATAAGTCTTTGTGAAGCAGAGTTGGGGCTTCTTAAACAAAGGATGGCATAGCTCAGAGAGACAGATTTGAGTGCGGCACTGAGAAAGGTACATGGTTAAACACCCCATCAGTAGCTATGCCTGTGATTTTGTGGCCTTTGCGGCTGGCTACAGAGGATGGGAGCCATAGCTGGAGAGGAAATGGGGAAGAGGTGGGAGGCCTTGCATGTTGACCCCAAAGGCGATTGCTGTGCCCTTTTGGTGGGTACTGTGATGCTAGCTGTGCACCCTGAGGAGCCAAGTTAGGATGTTTGAAACAGGAAACAGGAGCAGGGGTCAGTGCACTGTGAGAGAGAGTGACAAGTGGGGGCCGCTAAGTCACCCCCAAAGACTTAGCCTGTAGATCAGTGGGGAAGGCTCCAGAGGGAAAAGGAGAAGTGTGGGCCTGGGTCCACTTGTGTAACTCTGTACCTGGCCGCTGGGGTCCTGGGATGATGCTTGTGTGCAGCTGATCAGGATGTGGCCACCAGCCAGCGTTTTCCAGAGCCAACGCTGACAAAAGATAGGAAGATTCCCCAGCACAGCAGTGCACATCTGAAGGCAGATGTGGGTATGTGAGGTGGGACGGGGCAGGGGCTCTGCAGCTGTTTAAGGAGAGGCTGCTCATCTGCAGCCCATCCCAGCAAGGCCTGAGAGCTTCTGAGTGGGAACCTCAGGTCAGGATTGCTCCATGTTCCAGACTTCCAGGCCCTCAGAATACCCAAAGAGACTTCTTCCCCTGAAGGCCCTGCAGCATTTAAAACTGCCCCTCGGTGTCCACAGGGAGCTGGTTCTAGTAGCCCTGCTGGATACCAGGGCCCACAAATGGTCAAGCTGTTGACACACCTGTAATTCCAGCACTCAGGGAGGCAGAGGCAGGTCCATTTGCTGTGGGTTTGAGGCCAGCCTGGTCTACAAAGTGAGTCCAGGACAGTCGAGGCTACACAGAGAAACCCTGTCTCTTTTACATCTAGATTAGCCACACCCTCCCATGCACATTGAACACCCCTTGATTACCACGAGCATTAATGTGATGGAAGTGCTTTGCGGTGGTAGCTGTTTTGTAGTGTTTAGGGCAATGGTTCTCATCCTGTGGGTCACAACCCCTTTGGGGTTGAATGACCCTTTCACAGACAGGGTCACATGTCGGATATCCTGCATATCAGATATTTTCATTACAATTCGCAACAGTAGCAAAATTACAGTTATAAAGTAGCAAGAACATAATTTTATGGTTGGGGGTTAGCACAACATGAACTATATTCAAGGGTCACAGCATTAGGAAGGTTGAGAAACGCTGCTTTTAAGGGATGACCAAGAGAATGAAGTCTCTCCATGTTCAGTACAGATACCCAGAAACGGAGTTTTAGTTTCAAGTGTTTTTCTTACGTGATTGGTTGAGTCCCCAGATGCAGCACCCACCCACACAGGAATGACCGCACCTGCTCCTGCGGTTTGTCCCTGCCCACTCAGACCACTCCTTCATTCTGAATCCACACACACGTGCACACACGGTGCACACAGAAGATCCGCCGTCTTTCTTCCTCACGGTCCCTAGTTGAGTAGCTCTTCTTGTTAACTCACGCCGAGCCCAGCGAGAGAGAACAAGTTAAAAATAAAGGGAGCTGTATCAGTCTGGTTGAGCAGTGTGTACCAGGATGCGTACATCCTGCAGGGCTTGGCGCAATCACATGACTTCTCGGGAGCTTGACTGGGGGCAACCTCGTGGGTGGGAGTTACCTCAGCCCACCAGGGCAACGCTTACCTTCCGCTCCACCTTCCTGCCTGCGACCTTTCTCCTGTCTCTCCCCTAGAAACGGCCAGAGAAGCCCAGCCCTGGATGTGAAGACCCCGTCTGCCTATGGAGAGAGCCTCCAGAACGGGAACATAGATGACCCCTCAGGTTTAGCGTCTGTATCTGGGCAGTGGCCCAAGCAGGGAACGCCCCTGTCTCACGTCCGATTTGAAGATGAGTCTGCCCACGAGGCCGAGTCCCGGTACCTGGAGCGCCTTCAGCAGCGCCAGCGTCGGGCGTTAAGCGCAGTGCTACATGCTATGGACCAAGGGCCGCTGCGCTCCAAGCCGGACCTCACCAACTACATTAACCGCAGCGTGGGGAACAGCTCGTTCCACGGGCCCGTGGGCTCGCCAGACCACAGTAACTTCTCTGCAACACTGCCTACATGGGACAGGGAGAGGACGTGTCCAGCCTGTGGCAGCTGTCTCGAGGAGCGTTGCCCTGCTGAGGGGAGGGCAGCCCCTCACCTGAGGGTCCTCCGGGGTCTTCAGGCTGCCTGTGAGGCAGGGGCAGTACTGCTGGGGTCCTGTAATTCCGATGGCTTGAGCTCCCCCTTCCCAGGGCTCCACACAGAATGGATCCGGGAAACACACATCACAGACACTGTCGCCACAGACCCTGAGGAGGGGAACTCTTCCCTGGACAGCACCAGCAGTTCAGACAGCTGGACAGACAGTAAGGCTGGCAGGACCTCTCGGTCCAGCAGGGCAGGTGAGCAGACCCAGGTCAGCAGCCCCCAGCAGTGGCAGCATGGCTCTAGGCCTCAGGGAGATTGCAGGCGGTCCGGAAAGGCTGAGACTGAGCTGCCCCGTGGCCTTCAGGCCTGGCCTCACCTGCCTGAGGCTGACGATATGATCGTAGGAGGAGAGGCAAAAGGAGCCAGAGGACACATAACCCAGGGAACTTTGTTTCTAAAGGAAGGTGCTGTGCCTAAACCTGCCTTGGAACCTAAGAGGCCTTGGTCCCAGGGGCAGCTTGGATCACAGTTAGGAAGTCACTGGGCCCGCCCTGAGGACTGCGGGAATCCACGCAGGACAGCCTCTGCTGTGCCATTTTCCAAGAAGCTCCGGTCCCCAGGACCAGGCCAACCAGACCAAGTTACCAAAAGCCCTGAATCTCTGGGAACTGTCCACACCTCTTCTCCCCAGCAGAGCCCTGAAGAGCCCGCTGCACTCCTCCCAGCCCTACAGCCAACTCTGCCCCTCTCGCTTGAAGTGCCAACCCCGCCTTCTTCAAGGAAATCCCTCTGCCCTCTACCCCTGGGGAAGGCAGCCTCGAGTGGACACCACAGGCTGGGGCACCAGCTGGAGCATACGGATATCCCCCGGCCGCCGTCCCCTCCAGGAACTGCGGTTCTCACCCCACCTCAGCCCTGTAGCCCACCAGTCAAGCATCTACTGCCGGACCTGTCCAACAACTACAACAGCAGTGGCCCTCTGGGGCTGCAGGAGCCCTGGGGAGCTGCTGTCCGCAAGAGTAGAGCTGACCGGTGTTGTCAGGAGAGTGATGGAGATGGTAAGGGCCGCTGTCACTTCATGTTTGTCTCAGGCCAGGTCTGTGACTCTCATTGGCTGTCCATCCAGGTCACAGCATGATAAGGCCACATACCATTCCCAGCAGCCCTATGAATTCCTCAGAGCAGCAGCCCAGGTGTCAGGGAGGTAGGGGAGCATGGGTTTATAGGACTTACCTGGAACATGGAGCAAGTTGGCCAATTTTCCGTGTTGGGGGATGGGGAGCAGGGGCTGGGACCATGGGGAAGGTGGGGATGGAACCCTCTTTCTGTTGGGAACTCTGAGGTATGTAGGGAAGCTGCAGTCCACAGCTGCTGGAAGCCAGGCTCCGTGGGAATTCAACTCCTGTAAACTGAAGACTCTACTGTTGTTTAGAACAGTAACTACTCCAACACCACCAGGCCTCTTCCACCAGCTGTCTTTTATGCTTTCATGGTTACATTCACTGTTGACCAGGCACCTGATGCGAGCTTGGGCCTGTCCTGGGCCATATGGGGAATGCATAAGAAAATGACTCCGGCAGAATCCCTGCCTGCCCCTAAGGCTTACGGTGGCAGTGACCAGCAGGGGGAGATGGGGAGATGCTGCTCTGAGCATTCCTTGGCCCTGCCTGCCTAGCATGTGGGTAGATTTTGATGGGCAAGGCTGCCCGAGCTCCTTGCCCTTGGGAGGAGCCGTCATGCAGCAGGCAGATTCTGTGTTTGCAGATCTCTGTGTCCCAGGCAGGGACAGTGAAGTTGCCGAGGCAAAGCCTCTCTCCCGTACGTGTGCTGCCTCCATCCTTCTCCCGCCCTTCATGCCATGATCAGCCCCCTCTCTTGTGTGGCTCCAGGCTGTGGTGGCTGGTTTGCACCTAGCCACTTCCTGCAGTGGCTTCTGAGACCCACTGACCCTTCTGGAAAGCCTGGGTCTGCACCTCCTGGAGAGCCTGGTAAAGCTTCTCCTGTTAGTGACAGGGCCATGGATGACCACTTCCTCTCTCCGTGCTCGCCATTTTCTTATCTAGAAAATGAGGTTTAAGCCAGGTATAGTGGCGCAGGCCTTTAATCCCAGCACTCAGGGAGGCAGGGGCAGGCAGATTGCTGTGAGTTTGAGGCCAGCCTGGTCTACAAAGAGAGTTTAGGCCAAGGCTACACAGAGAAACCCTGTCTTGGGGTGGGGAGGAAGAAAAAGAAAGTGGGGGTTAAAATACAGCCTGACTCATAGGAACCATAAGAACCAGTCCATGAAGGGTTAAACATCACTGAGTGCACACAGTGCTCCCAAGATGGACGCTGTGAAAGCTGTGGCAATGGCAGATGATTTTCCTTGTTCTTGACCATGTCCCTTGACACAAAAGGGGTGTGACATATCACAAGTAACTTGCCACTTAATAGATGCTAACTAGTCACCCACTGTGTACCAGGTGCTGTGCTGGGTGATGGGGTGACACTAGTCCATAAGCCCCACCCTTGTCCTCAGACAGTCTCCGGGTTAGAGGATGCTCAAGGGTGGGCCCTGGCCGCCTTCCCTGCCTGCCTGCCTGCCTGCCGAGGCTCCCACTGCCTCTGCTCCGGTGGCTCCCGCCTCTCCCCGGTGTCTGCTGCTGCTAAGACTGGGAGATGGGCTTTTCCCCACTGTGACCTGTGTTGTAGCCGGGCTGGTGCTGTGGCTGTTTGCAGGAACACTCCAGGACTCACTCCAGTCTGCAGATGTCGCCACGGTCAATTCTACAGCCATCACCCTCTCCCTCAGCTCAGAGGAGCCTGAGTGCAGCCAGGAGCTGGGAGGAGGTCCACAGGGGACAGAATCCTGCTCTGGAGGCCACATGCCCCCTAGGTGAGTGGCAAGAGCAAGCCCTGACTCCAGTGACTGTGCTGGATGGCGAAATACCGCCTGGAGCATTAGCATCTCTAACCTTCTTCTCCCAAACCCTGCAGGGTCCCTAGACCACTTCCTTGCACCCCTAAATCACCCTTCCCAATCCTTTCTTCCCAATCCTGTGTGTGCGCGCGTGCGCACACACGTGCGCACGCGAGTGGTGGCACGTGCACAGATGTGTCTAGGGATGCGTGGGTGTGAGTGTGTGTACAGGCCACATGTTGACTTTAGTGGCTCCCCCCCCCCTTGTTTTTGAACCCCAAGGATCCACTTGTCTCCGCCTCCTCAGCACTGGGCTTATTGTGGACATGCCCTGCCATGCGCCTGGCTTTTAAATGGGTGCTGGGGATCTGAAATGAGGTCCTCATGCTTGTGTGCCGGACACTCCACCTACCCCCAACCCCCACCTTCCCCAGTTGATTTTATCTGACGAACCTCGTTGAGCCGCGGAGTTATCTATCCACTCTTAGCCCCAGCTGTTAATGCTGCACCCGAGAGCCACCGACCTCAGGGTGCTCCCGGGATGCAAACTGTTTCCCTTCTTGGCTTCAGCTGGGGTTAGACATCTTCCGCCCTGCCTTGAAACCTCAGCCTTGGCAAACCAGGTACTTCCCAGCTCCATATTGTACCCTGTGACCACATGGGAGCACATAGCCTCCCTGTGGCCCAGCCAGGCCTCATGTTTGCCAGGATGCTAGGCCTGTCTGGCAGTTTCTCCTGGATCTCCCTCCCAGGTGTTTAGCTGCCCCCTAAACCAAACTGCACAGTTGCTTGTCCCATGCCCTCTTCCCGAAGCCATGCTGCCATCCGCATAGTGCTTAAACCCTGTCTGCCTCCTCCTGCTTTTGCCCACTTGCACCAGCTGGCAACCTCTCCAGCCCCCAGCCCCTCTTTCTGCCATCTGATCTAAGCTGCCTTACTTTTTTTTTTAATTACAATTTATTCAATTTGTATCTCAGCTGTAGCCTCCTCCCTCATTCCCTCCCAATCCTGCCCTCCCTCCCTCTTCTCCCATGCCCTTCCCCTAGTCCACTGATAGGGGAGGTCCTCCTCCCTTTCTATCTGACCCTAGTCTATCAGGTCTCATCAGGACTAGCTGCATTGTCTTCCTCTGTGGCCTGATAAGGCTGCACCCCCCTCAGGGGGGAGGTAATCAAAGAGCCAGCCACTGATTTCTTATCAGAGACAGTCCCTGTTCCCCTTACTAGGGAACCCACTTGGACACTGAGCTGCCATGGGCTACATCTGTGGAGGCGGTTCTAGGTTATTTCCTTGAATGGTCCCTGGTTGGAGTATCAGTCTCAAAAAGACTCCTGTGCCCAGATTTTTGGTTCTGTTCTCCTTGTGGAGCTACTGTCCCCTCCAGGTCTTTCTACCTCCACTGCCTCACTACTTAGCTGCACAAGGGAATTTTATAAAAACAGAAACAAAAAACCAATGAAATGGTATCATGGCCCAACTAAAAGCCCCACAGTAATTTCTCCTTGCCCTCGCTTCTCTTAGTTTGATGGTGTTCGGTAGCATAGTGGGACTTGATTGCCTGGCCTCATATCACACCTCTCCCTGTCTTCCTCACTGTCTGGCTGCAGTTGCTGAACATATCAAACGCCTTTCTACTCAGACTGAGCTCCCAGCTGTTCTGTGCACCTGCCGCTCTCACCTCCAGGCTTAATGGCCTGACTCCTGCCTGTCATTGGCCCTTGGTATAAAGAGTTTTTTCCTGAAGAGGTCTTCCCTGGAAACTATTTACAACAAGGGCCGGGTCACACCCTGCCTCACCCCACACACTGCTGAGAATGGCTTTTCTCCTTGTGGTTTGTGGTTGATATGCTTCTGTACTCCCTTAGACAGATAGAGGCAGACAGATAGGCTGGGAGACATCCTGAAGGAGTGGAATAAACGGATGATGAACCCTTGGCTGTGTGATGGCAGGGGCTATCCTGGACTGTTCTCCCCAAGGCTGCTCTCGAAGAGCACCTGGCAGAGTCTGTGCCTGGCTCCCCTGCTACAGCCTGATTCCTCCCTGGGCATTGGTACTGGCCCATGTGGGGCTTGTGGGTCCCTAGGAGGCAGGATGCAGCCAGCTCTTGCCTTCCTCACAGCCACCTGTAGCCACCTCATGCCCACCTCCACCCCTTGTGTTTCAGGGCATCACCTGAGGCCAGTGCAGGGCACAAGCCACCCTCAGCTTCCCGTTCTGATGGGAACAAGAAAAGGAGGAGTAGTATCGTCTCCACCTTGGGGCTCAAAAAGCTCTTCTCAGCCCTGGGCCACGCCCCCCAGCCCAGACTTGGCACATCCCGAAGCTGCAGTGTGGAACAGCTGCAGCCCTCAACACTGGCTCCACACACCAGTACCCCCAAAGTGAAGAGAGCCCCATCGTTACAGATCCTGCACACGGTGAGTCCCTGCGGCCCTGCACAGACGGATGAGGTCCGGTAGTGCTCTGCTGGGATGAAGGGCGGAGGGAGGGGAGTTTAGAAGGTCCCTGCTCAGAGTCTAGGTCGCAGAAGCGGGGAGCTGCTGCAGGCCTCACAGCTCACTCGAGGGGCTCCTGCTCACTGCGTGCAGTATCCCTAAATTCTGTTCTCCACCCACCACTGTCCATCCTCTTCCTCCCTTTCCCTTAAGTTTCTTGCCCCTGCTTCCTGGAGAGGCAATGCCCTGCTCATTCTTTAACTTTCACCTTGGCCACAGTGACTCTCTTAATCCAAACACAATTTCATTCTTCTTTTTGAAAAAGAAAATATTTTCTTTCTGTGTGTGCGTTTTGCTTCATGGACATCTGTGCACCGTGTGCATTACTCAAAAGAAGGCATCGAATCCCCTAGGACTGGGGTTGTAAACAGTCATGAGCTGCCATGTGGGTACTGGAGATTGAACTTCTGGAAGAGCAGCCAGTGCTCTTAACTGCAGAGGAAGCGCCCCTTCCCCCAAGCCCAGTTCCAGTCTGTGTAGTCACAGCAAGCCTCGACTGGCCTTTGTTCTGCTCGTTCTCCGTGTGGCTTCCATTGTGGTGTTTCTGAGGACATGCACACCTGGCCACACAACTGCCCCCTGCCGTGAATGCATCCCTCTCTGGACGTTCATCACGTGTAGGATAAAGTTGAGACTGCTTAATGTTGTGAGGGGATCTGTGGCGTGTCTGCTTTTATGTCTCATCACTCTCCCGGAACACTCTCAGCCCCTGCTGGATAGACCCTTTTGCCCTTCGACAGTCAGGTCACATAGCCCGACCGAATCTCCACCTGATGTCTGTTCTTCCCTCCACATGCCTCCTTCAGAAGTCATCGCCGTCCTCAGGCCGTTGGCCCTCCCACCCACAGCTCACTCCTCCATGTCTCTCTCCCCTCACTGTGATATGATGTCTGTACTCCCAGGACCCATCTCAGCAGCTAGTGCGCCTCGTTCACACGGAGAGAACACAGACACTAGCTAAACATCCCCTCTCCAAATCACCTCAGCACAGGCCGTCAGGCCTCCGGGCATCCTGCTCCATGCTAGGAGCTCTTCTGTCCTCCTCTGTGCAGAGTCAAAAAGAGAGCCGAGGTCTGAGGCATGGGAGCCTTTCATTTCCAAGGCTGAGGAGGGGAGGGAACATGGGATGGATGACAGTCTGGGACTGCTTTCACTCAGGACAGGGTCTAGGAGTGGAGGCCCATGTGCAGGAAATATCTGCTGGCTGATGAGTAGAGGAAAGAGGGGAAAGGGGGAAGCAGAGGGTGAGCTGGGAACGAAGACAGCATGGCTTCCTTGCGCCCTGGACTTCTCCAGCATTGAGCTGTGAGCTATGGCACTTGCGTTTATTACCATTGGAGTTTCTCTGTAGCCTCTCAAGGGAAATAACAGTGTCTCTTGTGTCCCAGAGGTCTTGTTGCAATTTAAGCTTAGTGACCAGAGGTAGAGAGCAGCCTGGCTAAGAAAGAATAGAACATACAGGACAGAAACCCAATAACTAGAAAAAAATTTCAAGAAGCTAAAAGAAAAAAGTCTCTCCCGGAAGTATAAATGCCTGACTATCTACCCCTCACCAAACATGCACCAGCACACACCACCCCTTCTCCCACGTCCCCATGCCTTCTCTCACCTCTCCTTGCCTTCTCTCACCTCCCTAACCCTTCTCCCATGGCCCCACACCTTCTCTGCCCTCTCCAGGCCCTCTCTCCCCTCTCCTTCTCCCATGCTGTTTTTCTTTTGCCTGGGCACCTGTGCCTCTCTTTTCAGCTGGAGAGCTCTTGCTTCCAGCCCTGCTCAAGGACCAGCTCCTCCTCCATCCTCATACCTTCTGGGCCAAAGCCTCTCTGCTCCAGGAACTTTTTACCCGCTCCCCACCCTGTCAGGTTAACTGGCCTCATCCCCACTCCCAGCTGGAAGCCTTCTGCTCTAAGGTGTGTCCTGTCAAGTGTGCTACCGCTGACCCACGCCCCAGCCCCTCCTCTTTGGACAGGCTCTCCAATGTGCCTCAGGCTGGCCTGAAGTTCATGATCCTCCTGCCACAGCTGTTGAGTACTGGGTAGATGTTTCTAGTCAGTAAGATAAGTGCAGAGTGCTGAGTTGTCATTACGCTTTGGATGCCTGAGAAGCCCCATCTCCTGGAGCATGTTCTGCTGACTCCTGCAAGCCATCCAGACTAGCTGACCAAAGCTTGCACCATTGCTTTCTTAGATTGACTTCAGGTTTCTTAGATTGACTCCCAGCAAGTCCTCTGTGGTGACCCCTTCCCAGGCTTTTTTCTCACCTGCAATATTGGGCCTTCCCCACTAGGTGACGCCCTCCCATCAGCATCGGAAAGCAACTTCCTTTCAGAACCTCCATTCTCTGTTAGGTGGCAAGGGAGACCGGTCCAGCCTCTACCTGGTGGAGGGGTCAGGGGACCCCCGTGCACCCAGCAGGTAAGTGTGGCACAAATGACCTGAAGGATAAACTCAGAGTGCCACTCAGAGCTACATGTTTAGTCTTCTCTTCCCTCATCGCCGCAGCCCTGAGCCCGCCTGTCCCTTTAAGAGGAAGTGAGGCAGAGTAGCTGAGTCTTGTCCTCAACAAAACTCCAATGTGGAGAGACAGAGTGACACTGAAGTGTCAGAATGACACCTCTGTGCCCTTGCCGTGTGTGGGTGAGTGCTGAGAGGTGTAGGCTTGCTGGTGGTGCTGGCAGGCTTGGCGCCCCTCTCCCTTGGCTGTCCCACGACAGCCTGAAGTCAATGTTCAGGGTTTCTTTAACATAGCTAAAGCTTCTACTAACCGCCCAGAGACAAGAGCCCCCAAAGAAGCCCTTGATTCCTGACCTCTCTGCCCAGGACCTCTTGCCTGTTGCTTTTATCCAGAGCTCTACAGAAGGGCTTGGGGCCGGGGGAGGAGAGAGAGCATGGAAAACACTGCATAAAATTATAGCTTTGCTCAGGTTCTGAGGTCTCTCCCTAAAAATGTTATAAACCACCATCCCGAGCTGCTGCCAGCAGATTGTGGAAGCTGCCTGTGTCTACCCTAGGGAGTTCATTTTGCTCGCTGAGGTCAGAGAAACCCCAGGTTCCTATGGCAGAGATGCAGGGCACCTTCGGAGCACTAAAGAACTGGCCCTGGTGCCTGACTACTGTTACGGTCTATGGTCTCCTCGTAGGAGACACAGTGCTCTCAGCGTGGAAGATGTGGGCGGCCCCAGCCTCGCTCGCAGTGTGGGCCGTGTGGTGGCGGTGTTCCCAGATGGCACAAGTCAGCTGCAGCTGCAGCGGCCCCCAGACGGCAGCTTCGGTTTCCGTCTGGACTACGGCAGTGGCCGTCGAGACTCAGGTATGCCATTGGGATCCTCAGCAAAGCACCGGAGGTGCTGTTAGTTTCCTTCTGGGCTTAGCTGAGCAATGGAGAAAGCTCCCCCCCCCATCTCTCTAGAAGCTCTTCCTGGGTGCCAGGTTCCTGGAGGCCCTGCTGCTGAGGGGGTGGAACTAGCAGGTTTGACTGCACTGTGCCCCTGTGACAGACTGAGATCAGAGTCCTCAAGGCTTTTCCAGAGGGGCTGAGGAAACCCGTCTGTGCTCGCCAGTGCTCAGCTATTCCTTTGATGTGGCTGATGTATTTCAACGGTCCCATCCTCCAGCTGCTGCTGTGTCTGGGCTTGTGCAGCGGGCCTGCCTGTCTGCAGTCCTGTGCACGGCCCTCCCTCACCAGCTCCTCAGGGCTTTGTTCAGATGGCTCCTTGCTCCTGGCTGTAGCCTAATTCAATACCACTGTCACTGACTCTGACCGGGTGTCGGTCCCTCTATGTCCATGAGTCCTTCAGGGCAACCTGACTTGCCCAGGCCTCCATAATATGCATCTGAGTACCAGAGACCTTGAAAGCTATCCCCAGGCTATGCTAAGTGGGGGAGGTTGGGAGGTATGCTGAGGGAGAGTGGGCAGAGGAAGGAGGCATGACTCAGAAAGGCAAGCCCAGGAACCCGTGCTGCTGGGCCCCACAGAGGAGGGCAGTCCTTCTCTTGCGTCCCCTGGGTCAAGGCTGTTTAGCTGAAAGCCTCCCGCTGCCGTGTTTGCTGTGCAGCGTGCTGCTTGCACCCGTCATGTCAGGTGCCTACTAATGGGTATGGTGGGTACTGGGCATGGGGCACACAGACCTCTGACCTGACGGGGCACACGCCCTCCAGCGAGGGTGCTAGGCCAGCTCTACAGGTTTTCTTCATATATTTTGTATTATGAACGTGACATAGTGAAAAGCACCAGGAGCCAAATATAAATAAAGCAGGAATGGCAGGTGCTGTGTAGACGGGCTTGACAGTCGAGTGGGGATGGGACAGAAGAAGGAAGCAGCCTGTGGGGGCGGGAGATGAGATTCAGCAAACAAGGTCAGGCTGGGAGCTGAGCTCAGGGAGGCTGCAGGCTGTCCGGCCCTAAGGGACCTGGGGTTTTCTCAGTAGGACAGGTCAGGTTTTCTCAGAGTAGGGCAGGAACCATCTCTGGAAGAGATTTTAGAACGGGGGGGGGGCACCTGGCTGTGATGAGAACACACAACAGGACAGGGAAGGGCACTAAGTTGATTTCCATAGTCCAGGAGACAAATAGCAGGCGGCTCTTGGGTGCCTGTGGAGATGCTGAGCAGGGGCTATAGTTTGGCAGATCTGCAGTTACTGTGACCTGATCTTCCTGGTGGGTATGGGAGAGGGAAGGGGAAGAGGAAATGGAGGAGGGAGGACGGGGAGAGGAGAAAACATGTATGATGGGGAACGGGGTGGGCCTCCCCAAGTCTGGATGGAGGGAGGGTCGGATGTCAGTGCACACAGGGGCTGACATTTGGGAACCCAGGCTGAGTGTCATCCAGGCCTTCTCCGCATCCCTCACTTGGATGGTCCCAGCCAGGTAGTGTCCCACTCTTGCTGCTGTATTTGGCCACCAGATGTCACACTGGGATCTCACACCAGGCAGTGTGCTGGCTGCTGGTGCTCCCACCACAGTCCCTCTAGCTGCTTAGGGCCAGTAGCCCTGGGCTTCCGAGGGGCCGTGATCGGGGCCTGCTTACTAAGCGTCTGTCAGGGTGCCAGCATGTATCCCATCTGACACCACACCCACGAAGGCAGTGGGCCCTGCCTTCTGCTTCTCCCTGGCTACCACAGGCATCTAGCATCCTTAACAAAGGCTGTCTCCAGCAGACTATAAATGCCAGAGTTGCCTCACAGTCACGATCTCAGCTGAGAGGCCTACCCAAGTCTCCCCAGAAAGGCTGGAGTGACGTCAGTGTCTGGTCTGGCTTGGCTACATTCTTTTGGGTTTTGTCACTCCTCTCCACCTGCCTCTCCTGCTGCACGCCGAACACTTCTGTGGATTCACATGGGGAAGTAAGGGGTGGCTCCCTCTCTCCATGCCACCAGAATGCAGTAGACCCAGCAGGTAAGCTGTTCAAGCATCAGAGAAAGGAGATCAAAGATAGGGCAGGAGCCCAGTAGGCAAGCCCTCTGCCAAAGGATGGTAAATACTCAGTCAGTACAGACCAAGCCTCACTGGACAGGATCACATTAGCCAAGAAGCACCGAAAGGGATTTCCACACTTCAGACAGGAGAGGAAGTGTGTACGCAGTTCAGGTTGGCCAAATGGCCATAGACCTTTAGGTGCCTTGGTGAAGGAGTTGTAGACTCCACATTCAGAGCCTCGCTTCCCTGGGACCCAGAGGCTACAATGAAGGGGGATCCTCCAGGTCCATAGGCCGAGGTACTGCTCCCCACAGTCCATGATGTTTCAAGCCAGAGATGAAGGCACCAGAACAGACATCCTGCCCAGCCCATGCTAAGCATCCAACCAGGGAAAGGCCTTGGAGAAGGCATCGTGTGGGGAGTTGCTGTACGTTTCTCAGCCAGCTGGTGAAGGGGTCGGGACTGTTCAGCTGTCCCAAGTGTCATTGTGCTGTCAGCAGGAAGTCACCTGCAAGGCCATCCCCCGCTTCCTCTAGCAGGCTGGCTATCCTCATACAGCAGAGCATGGCTCTAGCTTTCCCCAGAGAAAGCTACCTACAAATGCTGTCAGCTGGGGGTAGCTGACAGAGCCTGAGAGATGCTTAGCTTTCGGCTGGACACTCCTGCACTGTGGCAGCGGTGGCCGGAGGCCTGCCTCATCAGTCTGAGCCCCCATAACCTCCTGCCCACCACCACACGGCTCTCCTGAAAGCCAGCCACAAGTCCCTGATAGGCTTCGCTGTTATATTTACAACCCAAGGGAGGATCATGCTGGCTACGCTGAGCCTCTTGAATCAGTAGAGGGAAGAGTACAAGAAAAAGAGGCAAGTAAGCCATGTTTGCTGGACTTTGGCCCACATGCCACCAAATCCCAAGGAGGAAGTGTGTGAGTGAGGCTGAGGCCAGAGCCAACCCTGGACAGTATTGTGAACCAGATTTGGTTTCAGCTACTTCTATTACTCTAGTGACACTGTCCCCCGCTTTGGCTTTTGGGCTGTGCCTGGGTCACTTGAGCTATCAACTACATCTATTTGTGAATCCTAAGAAACGTAGTGCAGGCCATGCAGGAGGTATTTATCTTCATTTTTAAAAACGACTCCCTCTTTATCCTAGAAGCTGATATCAGAAAAGGGTAGGATTAGTTCATTCTTACAACACTGGGGATGAATAGTGTCTTCAAACATCATTTGCATGGGTTTTGCTGTTTTGAAAGAAGTGACAGAGAAACGAGGTTATGCACGGGGAGGCGGGGGTGAGGGGCACATGGCATGTTCCTATGAAGCCAGTTGTGAGAAGGGTGTGCCACTGTGTCCTGCATGACTTCTTATTCCCTGCTTCTCTTTCTTTGCAGGGCTCTATGTGCAGGCCATGGCTGACCTGGATACTGCCAAGCTGTACTCGGGGCTACTTGGGGTAGGGGATGAGATCCTGGAGGTGAATGGGGCCAAGGTTGCTGGGCTGGGCTTGGCTCACATCAAGGAGCTCCTGGCTCATGTGGAGAGCTTGTCAATTCGTGTCTTGAAAAAGAGGCCTGTCCCCCAGTGACCCAGAAGTACTGCTGCTCTCACCGACGCTCCCTCAGTAGCCCTGACCCCCAACACACAGCGGGAGGGGCTGGAAATTGCCACTCAGATAATGTGTTTCACAGCCCAGGGTGGCATCTAGTTGTCCGAGCTGTGGCAGAAGCCGTTCTGACCGGCCACCTGCAGGAAGAGGCAAAGAGCCTGTGTGTGCATTCAGTTAGGCTCGCTAATGGATGCAGAGCTGGAGAAAGAGAATACCACTTTCTTCCGTCACAGACGTGACCATGTCCCTTTGCTGGAAGGAGGGGAGAGCAACTGACTATGTCCCTGGGTTGGTCCCTGAGCGCTGGCTTCACCTCTTGGCCACACTCACTGGGAAGGCTCCCCAGCCCCCAGCATACCAGAGAGAATGTGGCCACATTGGCCTTGTGCCCCGTCTGTTTGAGCTGTGGCTTGCCTGGATTCCATGTGACACTTGGCTCCTGATCTAGAAGTCTCGGCACAGCCTGACAGCCAGGAGCACACATTCCTAACCAAGCACTGGGAAGTATGGCCTGTCAGGAGCTCTGTGCCCCTTCTGGGTATGCAAACTTCTGAGAGTTTCTGGGAGCCAGAATGTTAAGAATTACTTTCTAAAAATGTCTGCCCCCAGCCGAGTTGAAGAATGAAACTATTGCCATTTGCAGCAAGTGTGGCCATGGTACGAAAGATGTGGGAGGCCAGGCCAGCCAGCCCCTTGCCTCCGCCTCTGCCTAGACCTCGGTTGTCGCAGCCTGGCCTGGGCGGGCCTTGGTCTTTGTTCTCTTGTCCAGCTTAGAGACAGGGCTGCAGCTGGTGTCTAGCTGTCTCCCAGCTGCAGGGTTTCTATGCAGACCTCCCTGGTGGCGGCTGTGGGTGGGCAGCAGGCAGGGAGGCTGTTAGCTGGGGTGGCCTTCCCACCTAGACACAGCCTGCTGAGCCGAGGTCCTGCCCAAGGGTCCAGGGCTCTGGAGATGCCCGGACAGGTGTCAGCCTTAAATTATTAAAACACAGAGCCAAAGCTGCTTCCGCTGGAGTTGCTGGATTCTGTCTTGTCTTGACCTCTCCCAGCTCTGAGAGGCCTGGGGTAGGGCAAGGGCAGACGGGTATGGCCATGGGGCATTCGGAGGGGAAGTGGGAGGCCTGCAGGGATAGGGCCACAACCAGTGTAGATGCAGAAGACTCTGCCACCCTGGAGTCAGGAGAGGAGGGCTGGCAAGGCTGAGAAGAGAGAAAGAGCTAAGAGCCTTGGGTAGGTGCATGGAGGGGCGGAGTGGGCAGCTCACTGCTGCTAAAAAAACCGAAACAGCCTTCATCTAGGTTGTGACATGTCACAGGCAGCCTTCACTGGACATGAAAGACACTGGGGAAACATTGCCTGTGGAGAGGTGACAGAGGAAGCCAGGGGGAGGAGAGGTTAGAACCCAGAGGCTGGGGAGAGGAAGAGAAGTGGGGGGGGAGTGTTTCAGAGCCCCAAGAGTGTAGGACTGGGTGGCTAGGACTACCCCAGGCTGGAGAAAGAGCACAAAGAGGGGGTTCTAGCAAGTAGGCAGAGCAGCCAGTGTCAGAAGCGCATAAAACTCCAGGACATGAAGAGGGCACTGGAGTGCCCCAGAGACAAATCCCCTACAGAAACAAGCACTCCCTAGCAGGAAACTACAGCCAAGGGGAAACCCCAGCAGCCCAGAGCAGTAGTCCCCAACCTGTGGGTTACAACCCCTTTGGCAAACCTCTGTCTCCAAAAACACTTATGATTCACAACAGTAGCAAAATTACAGTGAAGTGGCAAGGAAACAATTTTATGTTTGGGGTCACCACAATATGAGGAACTGTATTAAAGGGGTAGCAGCATCAGGAAGGCTGAAACCATTGTCCTATAGGCTATTTCTTAGCCTGGAACTACAGCTGGAGAAATTTCACCCTGGGGGGGAAAAAAGTGTCAGTAGCAAAGGCCACCTCTGTTTTCCATATAGCAAGGACATTTGTCTTCTGGAGATGCACAGTGAAGGACTGGGGCTGGGAGAGGCCAGAAAACGGCTGAAGTAGTGGGAGTTCCTGAAGTCCTGGTGTATCTTTCTTAGTCTTTTTGAGGGTCCTATGGGGAACATCCTGCTTCCTGTCCTTTTGAAGTGGGAACCCAGTTCAAGTGCCAGCACTGCTATGAGACTCTCCAGCCCTGTCTGCTTGGTGTGGGATGTACTTGTCACTCTCTAACCTTCCTCCTTCCTCTGTTTTTCCTCCCTCGGTGCTGGAAAAGGATAGAACGAGGGCAGGAGAGAGAATATGCAGGGTAAGAGGACCTCTGGTCTCTGATCGGAGGCACCCACTGTGGCCTCTGCTCTGTCCCCAATGGAGTAAAGCGATGCTGAGGCCCCTGGCCTGTGTCTGTGGTGGGGGAGGGCACTTGGCTCTCTCCAGCATCTGGTCTGGTCTCTATCATTTTCTTTATCTAGAGAGATGCTGACATAGCAGGCCTGGCTCAGCCCTTCTCCAAGTACTGCTGCATCAGAACCTTCTAGAATGTAGTTAATTGCCATAAGCCGGATTCCGGTGCAGGCTGGAGGACTGGTGAGGAGAGGGGAAGGGCGTACCAAAGCAGGGCTTTGTGAAGTGAGTGGGAACTTTTGAGTGAGAGCAAGGATACTCAGCCATAAACAAAACAAAAGAACATACCTTGTGCAAAGATGTGCATTTCCCCCAATACCCTGTGCCCCTTAAGCCCATAGAACTGATGTTAGGGACTGCAGAACGGGAGGTACCAACTTTGGCCTCAGACATGCCACTCTCCTGAGGGGTTGCAGGGCAGGGCTGGGTGGAGCTTGTAGGGCATTTCAGAAGGTACTATCTGAAGGCACCAATCAAGCTACACTTCCACTTCCAGGAAGAGGACGCTGGGACACATTGCCTTGGGTGCAGTGCCCTGGATGAAGATCTCAATCTGCTGTGGGGAGGGACAGGTGAGCAGAGCCCCTTGAAGAGCTAACTGTACAAGGGACAGGGCCAGCCTTGGGGGAGGGGGAGGGGTGGTTGCAGGCTCAAGTTGACCCAAGGCAAATGCTGTGCCATACACTGGACCCCGTGTGCATGCGGGCGTGAGCACTGGGCGCATGCAGTGTCCCAGGTCTTAGGGGGTGGAGCAGCAGGCAGTGGTGCCTGTAAAGGTCTGTTGACCTTTACAGGATAGGGGGCTGAACTTCACTTTTGGCTTTGAGGTCCTTTGGGAAAATGAGGTCCAACCTTCCACCGCGCCACCTGCACGAGAGCTGCTTTTCCCTGGCAGTGTTTCTGACCCAATAAATACTGAAAGCGGGATGAGCTGTGTGCGGGGGCTGGGAAGCAGAGAGTACATCCCCACGGGCAATGGCAAGTTCTCTACCACCCTGGGTCCAGTTGGTGGAACTGAGGGACCCCAGGCGGGGTCTTTAAAGGATATTATAAGTTCTAGGTCCAAGTCACCAAGAAGCCAGAGACCTAGGAGCAGATAGACGGACATAACTGGACTCTCAGGCCCTTCACCGTGGCTCAGGGAAGGGGCTAACCACTGTGGGTATCCCCACAACAGCTTTGGCTGCTGGTTGCCCTTCCACTGGGTTCCAGCTCCACAAATTCTCACTTATCCTCTTATTCTGTTTATCTGTGGCCTTTGCTGGTCTGCTCTCCCACCTGCCCACTGCCTGGCAACCTGTACAAGGATTAGAGAAGTGTCTGTCCTGGGGAGCAAACCATGATCCTGCGGGCTGGCAGTGCTCCTCCCTCCCTTTAACTCTCACACAATCACACAATCAGGGACTTCAGACTGTGACTTTTCTTCTGTGAAATTATCCTTCAGACTTACCTGGCAACCACTGGTCTGCCCTGGTGCACCTGCCCAAGCCATTTCTTCTACCCTCAGGCTCATTCTGGAGCTATTCAAAAGCCCCTACCATCCCTGAATCCCTCCCCACCCTGCTCTGTGAGGGCTCTTTCCTATGCAGCCAGAACACCTGCTCAGAAATGGCAACAGCCTTCCTTGGCAAACTCTGCCCAGCTCTCAAAGGCTGCGGGTTTGGCCAGGTCACTGTGCTGGGTCTGGCTGGGACTGGCTCAGATACTCTGCCCACGGAGCCAGAGCTTAACAGCTGCCCTGCCAGTCCTGGAGGGTATCCGGAGCTGTTTTGTGGATGCCCAGCCACCTGCCAGGCCTGCCTTTGTCTTGTCCTTCTACAGTCTGGACTCGAGCCTCTTATCACAGTATGGGGCTGCCCTTGGGGCTCTGGCCAGGTGCCAGTCACTAAGGAGAGAGCTGCTCTGCCCTTTGGGATGCCCACACCTCCTCAATGGAGCCAGCTATAGCTGTGAGATAAGGCAAATTAGCATGCCATGGGCTGCAAGAGACCCCAAGGCAGTGGGCTTAACCCACCTGGGAACCACAAAAGCTTCTGCAGAGGGCCAGCCTCAGCCCCATGATTCCCAAGTTCACCAGCTTCATCCAGCTCCAGAGCAAAGTTGGGAGGAAGAGATATGGATATGGTAGGTGCACCCATGCTACAATTGCTGCCATCGTGTGGGCACGTCAGGGTCTCCAGGTTTTCTTGGGTTACCATATGCAGTCTGATTGACTCTTCCTATAAGCAAAATCCAAACACCAATGAGGCTGACTTGAGTTCCTGGACCAGAATTATTATTTTGGGTGGTCCAGCCTGACCTAGACCTCACCGCATCGTCAGCCTCCTGAGTGGCTGGGATTACAGGCCTACGCAACCATGCCCAGGCCTAGAGCAGATTTCCTGACTTGACAGAACACTATTAAAGGTTCTGAGGGGCTGGAGGGATGGCTGCTCTTCCAAAGGGCCTGAATTCAACTCCCAGCAACCACACGGTGGCCCACAACCATCTGTAATGAGATCTGGGGCCCTCCTCTGGTGAGGTGTACATGCAGACAGAACATTGTATACATAATAAATAAATAAATCTTAAAAAAAAAAAAAAGTCTGAGACATGGTCAAGATGAAGGCACCTGACATCACACTTCACTCTTCAGGTGCTGAAGAGTTTGCTGTTTCAGGAGCTGGATGGAGGTGGCTCAATCAGTAGTGTTTGTCATTTAAAGTATAAGGACCAGAGTTTGATCCTCAGCATCCAGTTTTTTAGAAAGTCAGCTATAGTGATGGATGCTTGTGATGGGCCTGGGAAGCTGAGATGGGAGGGTCCCTGGAGTTTACTGCCTGACCCGGCCCCGGTGGATGGCTCTGAAAAACATGCCAGGTTGGAGACAGCTTTAGTGAAACACCTGTTTGCCATCTTTTCCCTACAACAAAAACCTGTGGTCTAATCAAACTTGGTTCCAGCTGTGTCTCTGATTTTTTTTTTTTCCAGTACTAGAGACTGAACTTGGTCTCACATGAGGCAGGCACTCTATCTCTGAACTGTTAGGTCCTTAGCCTTTTTTTTTTTTTTATATATATATATATATGTATATATATATATATATACATATATATATATATATATATATATATATATATATACATTTACTTAGTCTGGGCAACTTGAAAATGTTGCTCTCCTACCATGTGGGCTCCCAGGACTGGACGGGTCATCAGGCTTGATGGCAAAGGCGTTTACCCCGGACCACTTCATACTTGCTTCTTTATTTTTTTGGAGATAAGGTCTCATTGGAGTTGCTTGGGCTGGTCTTGACCCTTAAATCCTCCTGCCTCAGCCTCTGGAAGAGCTGGGAATTATCGGCCTTCGCTATTTCTTTTTTAAGATTTGTGTGTATATGTGACTGCTTGCATGTATATATTCGGTAACACCTGTGCATGCCTGGAGCCCAAGAGGTCAGTAAGGGAGGTCAGCTCCCCTGAAACTGGAGTTAGAGGCAGTTGTGAGCCCCAAGTGGTTGCTGGGAAGAGAACCTAGAACTCTGTGAGAGCAGGCGCTCCCTGCCGAGCCTTCTCTTCAGCCCCACGCTGGTGCGTTTCTTGGTGGCTTTTGCAGTCCCAGCTACTTAGGAAGCTGAGGCAGGGGCACTGAAACTCTGGTCCTCCTGTTCCACCTTCCTATGTTGCCACACTCCAGGCAGGCACATCTGGTCTTCTGTGGTACTAGGGGTTGAGTCTTGGGATTGCTAGGTAAGCACCCTACCAACAGAGCTGCGTCTTCAGCTCTCACAACTCAGAATTCTGATCTAGTAGCTGGTAGCTTTCTCTGCCCCAGGCAGCTGTCTATGTCAGTAGTTTAAAATGGTTTTCATTTTTCATGTATTTTGATCATATTCTTTCTGACACTCAAAAAAGAAAAATCTAAACAAACCAAAAAGGGGAAGAAAAAAAAACTGAGCAAAAGAAAAAAAAAATATATATATATATATATGTAATCCAGTTTGTGTTTGGCAAACTACTCCTGAGATTGGGGCCTGCCCTGAAGAAAACTGATTTTTCCCTGATACCCAGTAGGTATCAATTGCAAATAGCTTCCGGCATGTGTCAGTAATTTTTAAGTGCATGTGTGCTGTGTGCTGTGGTGTGTGTGTGAATACACCCGTGATTGTGTATGCAGAGCCGGGAGCATCGTCAGTTGTCCTCCTTTGCCTCCTCTACACAGGGTCTCTCCCCGAGTCTGGAGCTTGCTGGTTTTCTGGCTAGGTTGGCCAGCAAGCCCCAGCATTCCCCTCACCTCCACCTACCCCTACGGACGTGAGCTACAGACGTGACCAACCACACCCCCAGCTTCTTTGTGAGCACCGCAGAATCTGTACTCAGGTTGTCGTACACACACAGTGAGAGCTCTTGTCCACTGAGCCATCTCCTCAGCCTCTGTATGTCCTATGGGGAGGGGGAAGACCCTGTATTTAAGTGTGAAAAGGCTGAAAACAAGAACAAGAGTGGGCGTGTGGTAGAGTGCTAACACAGCATGGTGCTAGCTTGAGCTCAGTCCTCCATTAAAAGGAGAAAAACACCCAGGACAAGGCTCTGGTCTCTTCATCTTGCTTTAATACTGAACAGAATTCTTACACATGGCCGCAACACATCTTCAAGAGCAGAAGTAAGAAGTGGACTGCAGGGAATGAAAACGTCGCTTTTCTGGATAGATGGCCGACTTTATTTCACATAAGTTTTCAAGTGTGTGATGTCATCAGAGTTTAGGATTACCATCAAAGCACAAGGACTCTTTGAGGATGTTTCCCTGTAGGTGGAGGTCCACAATGCAGCAGCAATTGGAACCGGGGATGGGGGGGGGTGTATGCTGGCCTTATCTCTGGACTTAATGATTCCACCGAAAATGCATCTCTAACAAGCTTCTTAGCCTGGGAGAGCCAACATATAAATCTACCCGGGGCAGAGGTGACAGAACTCTAATCCCAGGGCTCACTTTTACCGAGCTGTGGGGAAGTGCCACCTGGAAGCCGCCCAGATAAAGTACTGACCCCACACCAGTGTGCACATCCTATTATTTAAAAGTAAAACCTATAAAGCTATTTATCCTTGGAAAAATATATAAGAATTTATTCCCCACTATTTTGCCATATATATTCTATTTCTGAGTTAGACCAATTTCTGATTCAAATGAGCCAGGGAAGCTTTTTCCATTTATACAACTCGCATTTACCACCATCTGCAGCTTGGTTCCTGTGGCCTTCTAGATGGCCCTCATCTGCTAGCATGCTGAGGGCTAAACCCGGCCAGGGCCAGTTAGGAAAAGGTCAGAGGGAACTGAACGTAATTGCCAAAGCTGGGGTGTGACTCAGTGGTACTCAATGTGCCGCATGTGCGAGGTCCTGGGTTCCAAAACAGAAAAGCAATCCTGAAGTCAGTGGGCGGCTGGCGCCCCCTCCCCCCCAAGACAACCAGGGCGCAGGCACCCTGCCTTCCCCGGGAATAAGGACACCTGCTTGTCCGGGGTCAGACCTCAGCTTCAGGGTCACACTTGCTGTTAACAAACGGATTCCAGCTGAATCTACATTCCGCTGAGCTGGTGGAAAGGCCTGACCTTGGTCCTACCCCAGGAAGGCTCAGATGGAGCAGCGGGCAGGACCTCTGGTCAGCAAACAGTGACGACGGGCAGCCTCTTCCCAAAAGCCACTGAGGACCATGTGGCCTTTCAGTAGAAATGCATAACCGTAAGAAAACAAACTGGGAACTACACTTCTTCATAAAGCTCTGGCTGCAGCCGGCAATCCAGGTCCGTGAAATGTTTGTGTGAAACCCCAGTGGGGGGGTGGGGAGGGGATGGGGGGGCAGGCACTGCCTGGGCGGGCGCTATGCACAATTCGAGGAAGCTTTTCTGGATTAAGGTCGTATCAGAAGAAAAATAGCACCAACGTGTTAGGTGATGGCAGGGTCACACACACGTACACATACACGCATGTTCTTGTGCACACACGTACGCCAGCACATGAGCACACAAATGCACGCACGCATACACGCACGCACGCTCTCCTTCCTTTCTCACCCCGCCCTGACAGCTGACTTGGCAGAGGCTGTACCTCATGGAGGACCTCCAGCGCAGGCCATCAGCAGCCACCTGGGCAGGCGCCGTGCAGCCCTCAGAGCCTCGGTGTTCATCGCAGGCAGAATGCACCTCAGTGGGGAGCTGAGCACAAGTCGGCGTCACTCTGAGTCGTTACCAAGGCCAGCTCCAAGTACCCTGACTTGTCTTAAAAGCATATGGCCTTCCAGAGGCTGGGTCCTCCAGGGGCTGCTCATCTTCCTTGGGGACAGCACTTGGCCCCTTGGCTCACTGACCCACGGCGAGGGCAGAGGCGGCTCTTTCAGAGCTTCACTCCTGTCCTGGGTCACAACCCTGCTGCTCACGTCACTCCAAACTCACAACTTTCTGGATTCAGAACCAGAAAGAAAGCTGCCCCGTGAGCTTTAGTAAGAAATGGGTGACAGTGGCTTCCCATTTATATACAACAGACCAATGTCATCCTGTTTTTTTTTGAAAAAAAAAAAAAAAAAAAAAAAAAGGACACTTATTTATTTGTGCAT